TAATATTTTCAAAGTGGCATCGATTCGATGCACTATAAACATTTTCAGCCGAAACTATATAATTTTAAAACACAGTATTATATTTCCAACGTATCATGGACTCGATGCATTATAATAATTTTCAGCTGGAGCTATATAATTTCAAAACACAGTATAATATTTTAAACGTGGCATGAATATGATGAACTATAATAATTTTCAGCCGGAGCCACATAGTCTCAAAACACAGTATAATATTTTCAACGTGGCATGGAATCGATGCACTATAATCATTTTCAGTGGGAGCTATATAATTTCAAAGCACAGTATAATATTTTCAAAGTGGCATCGATTCGATGCACTATAAACATTTTCAGCCGAAACTATATAATTTTAAAACACAGTATTATATTTCCAACGTATCATGGACTCGATGCATTATAATAATTTTCAGCTGGAGCTATATAATTTCAAAACACAGTATAATATTTTAAACGTGGCATGAATATGATGAACTATAATAATTTTCAGCCGGAGCCACATAGTCTCAAAACACAGTATAATATTTCCAAAGTGGCGCGAAATCGATGCATTATAATAGTTTTCAGCCGGAGCTTTATAATTTCAAAACACAGTATTATATTTTTAACGTGGCATCGATTCGATGCCCTATAAAAATTTTTAACCGGAGCTATATTATTTCAAAGCACAGTATAATATTTTCAAGGTAGCGTGTATTCGATGCACTATAATAGTTTTCAGCCGGAGCTATATAATTTCAAAACACAGTATTATATTTTCAAAATGGCGTGGATTCGGTGCATTATAATAATTTTCAGCCGGAGCTATATAATTCCAAAACACAAAATTATATTTTACACGTGGCATCGATTCGATGCATTATAATAGTTTTCAGCCGGAGCTATATAATTTCAAAGCACAGTATAATATTTTCAACGTGGCATGGATTCGATGCACTTCAACAATTTTTAACTGGAGCTATATAATTTCAAAGTTCAGTATTATATTTTCAAAGTGGCATCGATTCGATGCACTATAACCATTTTCAGCCGAAACTATATAATTTGAAAACACAGTATTATATTTCCAACGTATCATGGATTCGATGCATTATAATAATTTTCAGCTGGAGCTATAAAATTTCAAAACACAGTATTATATTTTCAACGTGGCATGAACATAATGAACTATAATAATTTTTAACCAGAGCTATATAATTTCAAAGCACAGTATTATATTTTCAACGTGGCATGAAATCGATGCACTATAATAATTTTTAACCGGAGCTATATAACTTCAAAGCACAGTATAATATTTTCAACGTGGCATGGATTCGAAGCTGTATAATTTCAAAGCACAGTATTATATTTTTAAAGTGGCATGGAATCGATGCACTATAATAATGTACAACCGGAGCTATATAGTTTCAAAGCACAACATTATATTAGCAACGTGGCATCGATTCGATGCACTGTAATCATTTTCAGGCGGATCTATATAATTTCAAAACAAAGTATTATATTTTCAACGTGGCATGGAATCGATGCACTATAATAATGTTTAACCGGAGCTATATAGTTTCAAAGCACAATATTATATTTTCAACGTGGCATCGATTCGATGCACTATAATCATTTTCAGCCGGAGCTATATAATTTCAAAACACAGTATTACATTTTTAAAGTGGCGTGAAATCGATGCACTATAATCATTTTCAGGTGGATCTATATAATTTCAAAACACAGTATTATATTTTCAACGTGGCATGGATTCGATGTCCTATAATAATTTTTAACCGGAGCTATATAATTTCAAAGCACAGTATTATATTTTCAAAATGGCGTGAAATCGATGCACTATAATCATTTTCAGCCGGAGCTATATAAATTCAAAACACAGTATTATATTTTTAACGTATCATGGATTCGATGCACTATAATAATTTTCAGCCGGAGCTATATAATTTCAAAGCACAGTATAATATTTTCAACGTAGCGTGGATTCGATGCATTATAATAATTTGCAGCCGGAGCTATATAATTCCAAAACACAGTATTATATTTTCAACGTGACATCGATTCGATGCACTTTATTAATTTTCAGCCGGAGCTATATAATTTCAAAACACAGTGCAATATTTTCAACGTGTCATGGATTCGATGCACTATAATCATTTTCATTCGGAGCTTTATAGTTTCAAATTACAGTATTATATTTTCAACGTGGCATAGATTCGATGCATTATAATAATTTTCAGCCGGAGCTATATAATTTCAAAGCACAGTATTATATTTTCAAAATGACATGAAATCGATGCACTGTAATCATTTTCAGCCGGAGCTATATAATTTCAAAACACAGTATTATACTTTCAACGTGGCATGGAATCGTTGCACTCTACTAATTTTCAGCCAGAGCTATATAATTTCAAAACACAGTATTATATTTTCAACGTGGCATCGATTCGATGCACTTTAATAATTTTCAGCCGGAGCTGTATAATTTCAAAGCACAGTATAATATTTTCAACGTGGCATGGATTCGACGCATTATAATAATTTTTAGCCAGAGCTATATAATTTCAAAGCACAGTATTATATTAAAATGGGCTGAAATCGATGCACTATAATCATTTCAGTCCGAGCAAAATTCAAAACACAGTATTATATTTTCAAAGTGGCGTGAAATCGATGCACTATAATAATTTACAGCCGAGCATATATATTCAAGCAGCAGTATTTAATTTAAGGTATCAGATTCATGCATTATAATCATTCTTTCAAGCCGGATCCTATAATTCAAAACACAGTATATTTCAACGTGGCATGAATGAATGCACTCTACTAATTTCAACCAGAGCTATATAATTTCAAAACACAGTATTATATTTTCAACGTGGCATCGATTCGATGCACTTTAATAATATTCAGCCGGAGCTGTATAATTTCAAAGCACAGTATTATATTTTCAACGTGGCATGGATTCAATGCACTATAACAATTTTTAACCGGAGCTATATAATTTCAAAACACAGTATTATATTTTCAAAATGACATGAAATCGATGCACTCTACTAATTTTCAGACAGAGCTATATAATTTCAAAACACAGTATTATATTTTCAACGTGGCATCGATTCGATGCATTTTAATAATTTTCAGCCGGAGCTGTATAATTTCAAAGCACAGTATTATATTTTCAAAATGACATGAAATCGATGCACTGTAATCATTTTCAGCCGGAGCTATATAATTTCAAAACACAGTATTATATTTTCAACGTGGCATGGAATCGTTGCACTCTACTAATTTTCAGCCAGAGCTATATAATTTCAAAACACAGTATTATATTTTCAACGTGGCATCGATTCGATGCACTTTAATAATTTTCAGCCGGAGCTGTATAATTTCAAAGCACAGTATTATATTTTCAAAATGACATGAAATCGATGCACTGTAATCATTTTCAGCCGGAGCTATATAATTTCAAAACACAGTATTATACTTTCAACGTGGCATGGAATCGATGCACTCTACTAATTTTCAGCCAGAGCTATATAATTTCAAAACACAGTATTATATTTTCATCGTGGCATGGAATCGATGCACTATAATCATTTACAGCCGGAGCTATATAATTTCAAAGCACAGTATTATATTTTTAACGTATCATGGATTCGATGCATTATAATAATTTTCAGCCGGAGCTATTTAATTTCAAAACACAGTATTATATTTTCAACGTGGCATGGAGTCGATGCACTATAATCATTTACAGCCGGAGCTATATAATTTCAAAGCACAGTATTATATTTTTATCGTATCATGGATTCGATGCATTATAATAATTTTCAGCCGGAGCTATATAATTTCAAAGCATAGTATAATATTTTCAACGTAGCGTGGATTCGATGCATTATAATAATTTGCAGCCGGAGCTATATAATTCCAAAACACAGTATTATATTTTCAACGTGACATCGATTCGATGCACTTTATTAATTTTCAGCCGGAGCTATATAATTTCAAAACACAGTGCAATATTTTCAACGTGGCATGGATTCGATGCACTATAATCATTTTCATTCGGAGCTATATAGTTTCAAATTACAGTATTCTATTTTCAACGTGGCATAGATTCGATGCATTATAATAATTTTCAGCCGGAGCTATATAATTTCAAAGCACAGTATTATATTTTCAAAATGACATGAAATCGATGCACTGTAATCATTTTCAGCCGGAGCTATATAATTTCAAAACACAGTATTATACTTTCAACGTGGCATGGAATCGATGCACTCTACTAATTTTCAGCCAGAGCTATATAATTTCAAAACACAGTATTATATTTTCAACGTGGCATCGATTCGATGCACTTTAATAATTTTCAGCCAGAGCTGTATAATTTCAAAGCACAGTATAATATTTTCAACGTATCATGGATTCGATGCATTATAATAATTTTTAACCGGAGCTATATAATTTCAAAGCACAGTATTATATTTTCAAAATGGCGTGAAATCGATGCACTATAATCATTTTCAGCCGGAGCTATATAATTTCAAAACACAGTATTATATTTTCAACGTGGCATGGATTCGACGCATTATAATAATTTTTAGCCAGAGCTATATAATTTCAAAACACAGTATTATATTTTCAACGTGGCATGGAGTCGATGCACTATAATCATTTACAGCCGGAGCTATATAATTTCAAAGCACAGTATTATATTTTTAACGTATCATGGATTCGATGCATTATAATCATTTTCAGCCGGAGCTATATAATTTCAAAACACAGTACTATATTTTCAACGTGGCATGGAATCGATGCACTCTACTAATTTTCAGCCAGAGCTATATAATTTCAAAACACAGTATTATAT